TAACGGTGGCACGGGCGGGCTCGGTGGCGGCGGACTGGGTGGTGGCGGCGATGGCGGCGGTGATGGTGGCGGCGGCGAGGGCGGTGGCGGTGAGGGTGGCGGCGGGCTCGGTGGCGGCGGACTGGGTGGTGGCGGCGATGGCGGCGGTGATGGTGGCGGCGGCGAGGGTGGAGGCGGCGAGGGCGGTGGACTCGGGGGTGGCGGCGAGGGCGGCGGCGGCGAGGGCGGCGGCGGCGAGGGAGGTGGGCTCGGGGGCGGAGGTGAGGGCGGCGGCGGCGAGGGCGGCGGAGGCGAGGGCGGAGGCGACGGCGGTGGCGACGGCGGTGGCGGCGACGGAGGCGGAGGGGAAGGCGGCGGCGACGGCGGCGGCGACGGCGGCGGCGATGGCGGCGGCGACGGCGGCGGAGGGCTCGGTGGAGGTGGCGATGGTGGTGACGGAGGCGGAGATGGCGGGAAGATGCTCACCCCCTGCGTGGCCACGAGGTCCAGAGGGTCGCCCTCGGACACCTCGACGATCGACGCAAGGGCGCTTGCGACGGCGTTCTCCTGCGCGCTGAGGATGTTGGCGGCCTCTTCCTCGAGGTTCTCGCGGTTGGACGGCGCCGCGATTGTGCTCGTCACCACCTTGACGCTGGTCAGGGCCACCGAAGCAACCTCGACGCCCACAAAGTCAGGGAGGCGCGCCACCGGCCGGTCCGCCGCAATCAGCTCCGCCACAACGGTGCCGATAAAGCGCGACGTCTCGCTGAGCCGCCGCTGGCCCGAGGGCGAGGCCGTCGCAGTGCAGTCGCCGTAGTCGCTGGCAGGGAACGCGCTTGCGCTGCAAAGGAGCGTCTGCCAGTCGCCAGTCCACGGCTCGGCTGCCGCGCCAACTCCTGCCGTGTCAGAGGGCCTCTCCGCGACCACATCGAAGCTCTGCGACACCTCAATCGAGGTGATCTTCGGCGTCCCGGCTTCCCAGACATTGGTGTCGACGGCGAGGATGAGGTCCGAGCGGGTCAGGCCGCCGACAAGCGCGGAGTTGTTGCCACTGAGGTCGAGGGTCGCAATCAGCCTGGTCTCTGATGTGAGAGCATCGGGCGGCGCGGGCGGCGCGGGAGCGACATTCCGCCCCACCTCTCCTGCCGGCGGTGTGCGCTGCCCAAGCCCGAGGCCGAGGCCAGTGCCGAGAGCTACGGCAAGGACGATCGAAGCGCCGAGGGCAACCCACACACGCCTGGAGGTGCGGCTGCAGCCCTCGTCGACGCGCTTGCGCGCCCGCGAGTAGGCGCTCCTCGCCTCGAGCGAGGCCTCCGCCTCGTCGGTGCCGCCCCACCCCCCCTTGCCGCCAAGCGCAGAGCCGGACTGCCCCTCCCGCCACGGGGCCTCTTTGACGGCGTCGTCGCTCGGCGCCTCGTCGTCGCTGGGCGTGGGCATAACGAGGACAAACTCATGCCGAGAGGGCGCGCCCGGCGAGGGCGGCCGGTCCGACTTAGTGGATATGCTCCACAAGTCTGACGACTCTGCCGACGGGAGCGGCGGACGGCGCGGCTGCGGCGTTGGCGGCTCCTGCGGCCCGTCCGAGTCCGAGTCGGAAGTGCCCGAGTCCACCTTCAAGCCGGAGGAAGACGAAGACGTCATGAAGCGGCCCGCGGCCGTGACGTCGTCGCTCGAGCGGCGGTCTGACGGCGGCTCGGGCGGGTGCGGAGAGACCGACGGCCTGTGCCCTTGCGAGGCTCTCGCCCGCGTCAGCTTTGCCCTCCGGACACGCTCGAGCGCAGTGGAGCTCGCACGCGACCGCCGCACCTCGCCGTCCGAGTCGGCCGCCCTGGAGTCGCTGGAGCTGACACGCGAGCGCCGGGCGTCGCTCGTGCCGTCCGAGTCGACTGTCGGGCTTCCGGTGCTGAGCCGTTGGCTGAGGGCCGCCTCGTCCGCCTCTGCGGGCAAGGACGGCGGTTCGGCCCACGGCACGTCCCCCTCCACCCGCAGGCCCGACGACTCCACAGGGAGAAGGCGTGGCGCCTCCTCATCGTGCTCCGGAGGCGACGGCAGCTCCGGCGTAAGCGGAGGCTCCCGCAGGCCCGACGACTCCACAGGGAGAAGGCGTGGCGCCTCCTCATCGTGCTCTGGCGGCGACGGCTCCGGCGTAAGCGGAGGCTCGTGCTCGGGGAAGTCCAACCCAACACCTGGCGACGGCTCTTGAGGGTCAACCTCTTGCTGAGACGACCTCTCGCTCGAAGAGGAATAGACGGCGTCGCTCAGCTGCACGGGGGTTGCCGCTTCGGCAACCTCTGTGGGCATGGCGTCTGGCGGCGACCATATGACATCGCCTGTGACAGGGTCGAACTTCACGCCGGTGGATCTGAGACCGTTTGGCATCGCGGCTGGTTGAAAGACTGCTGCAGCGACTCGGTCGCGCGAGCCGCCAAGTGTTCAACCTCACCAACTATATTTCCGCTATGTGTTTTTTTTGACGGCATTTTTTGTCTTTTCTCGCCAGGGCGGCTGCTGGTCTACAAAAACACAAATGCCCGGACCCAACCTGTTCACAGTGCAGGAAACCTAGAGCCCACGGTTCCCTAGGGTCACCTCGTGAAAAAACGTAAAACGAGTATCAACAAAAGGGAGTCTCTCTCGATGGGGACGCATTGACGTATTCGGCTGCAAGCAGGCTATTAAACACAAAGGTGTCAGGCCCCCTGCGGGTGCCACCCTGACACAACGCCGGGCGCCTGAGCGGCGCTGAGGTACAGCTGCCGCAGCAGGTCGTGCCGCCCCGCCTCCTTGAGGCCAGCGCCAATGCGCAGCACCACGGCGAAGGTTTTCCGCGGATGGAGGCCGTGGGCGTAGCGCACGACGTCCTGGAGCGACGCCGCCTTCGCGCCGAAGGCGGCGAACGCCGCCACCGCCTCCTGGCCCGGCCCTCCGCACTGGAACTGGCGCAAGCGCACCCACATTGCCAGCCTGCGCGTGCAGAGAAGCACGCTGGCCTCCTCGAAAGAAAGGCAAGCGTAGGCGCAGCTGCGGACAGCTCGGACACCCCCACCTCCTCCATGTTCCCCGCCACCGGCGAACCGCCACTGAGGCTAACGACACGATTGCCGCTGCATTCCCCGGCCGCGCCTGGAAGTGCATAAGCGCCGATAGAGCCCGCGACCCCGAGGATGATCGCCGGATGGGGACAGAGAACCTGAACTTCGTCAGCCCGTCTGGCTTCCCCAAGCACGAGATAGACCTCAAGCCCAACATGCCCATCATGCTGCTCCGCAACCTCGCCCCCGAGCGAGGGCTCTGCAACGGCACGCGGCTCCTGGTGCTCGAGGTGATCAACGGCCGGCTGCTCAAGGCCAAGATTGCGACCGGCAAGCACCGAGGCGACGTTGTCTTCATCCCGCGCATACAGCTGTCTCCTGATGACGACAACATGCCCTTTGCATGGTCGCGGCGGCAGTTCCCCGTGAGAGTCGCCTTCGCCATGACGATCAACAAGGCCCAGGGCCAGACCCTACAGCGCGTCGGCGTCTACCTTCCCAGTCCCTGCTTCGGCCACGGCCAGTTGTACGTGGCTGCATCGCGTGTCGGCTTGCCCGCAGACATCCGTTTTGCGGTGGACCGCGACACCGATGGAATCTTCCGCACAAAAAACGTCGTCTACGGGGAGGCGCTCACGTAGTCGGAACGGCCGGCGGGGCTCCTCTATTTATTGTTGTATTTATTGGATATTTATTTCGAGCTTGATTTACACATAGTCGAAGAACAAAAGAAACGAGAGAAGCACAAAGAAGCAAACGACAGGGCGGAGATCAAAGAAAGAAAGAAAGAAAACAGACAACCCAAGGGAGGGATGGGAGATCAACGAGGAGGAGCGTGTGCAGCTCGCCTATTTGTTGCGGACGATCGTTTCGAGGTGTGTGCGCGCACCCCGTTCGTCGCCCCCCTCGCACGCCGCCTCGGCCGCATTTTGCAGTGCTCCTGCATCCACTGTGATACCAATCGTGCCTCAGACGTGCCTCACTGCGCCACGCGCCGACACAACTCGCAGGAAGGCTCCTCCTCTCCCTCCGCCGCATTGTTCTGCTCAGACGCCGGCGCTTGTAGCTGCCCGTGGTGCCCAGGGCGCACTCATCACGAACCGTAGCTGCATGACTGAATCCTTCTACCTCTATTGCACCCCCAACCGCAATAACCTGGGCGATACCACGCCACGCTGACGGAGTGGTGAGCATCATCGCCCTGCCGAGCGCTGATTCGCACGGTGTCTCATGAAGGGACCTACGAAGCGATGTGAGTGCCGTGCGGGTGCAAAGAGCTGCCTCCCAGCTTCTGTCGGCCATGGAGCCTTTGCGCCTCGACCAAGCCGCTACCACCTGTCGCCGCAACGCCGTCAACACTCAATGCCAAGACGACGCCGACCTCGCTGGAGCGTAGGACCGGCACTGTCACCCTGTGCGACGCTCGCGGCGTGATGGCGTGCCTCGACAAAAACGGCACACCACCAGGCCTTGGAGCGCGCTTCAGCTGCTCTTGTGCCTCCCGGTGACGCCGTCCTCCGCGGCTCTTGCGCCGCGTGTGCTTTTGCGTGTAAGTGTGTGAGCAAACCGCTCAGAGAGGAATGTGTCGAGGGCGCTCAGGACAAAAAGCGGGCGCCGTCCCGCCACGAACCTGTTCCACGTTTCCGACTTGCCATTTGCTCATAGACGCTTCCTAAACTCTCTGAAGTAAGATCAGGTAAAGACATCCACACACACAACATGGCCAGAGAACCTGACCAGAAACGCTACCGCCACGGCAAGTCAAAGTGCGAGCTGCGAGGCCCAGTGCGCATGGCCAAGCAAACCCGGCGCGCACTCGCTCCCCCAAGCGACCCCACCCTCTATCGTTGACTGTGCTGCCCCAAACTGTCACGGCGGCCAACAGTCTCACTGCTCCTGGAACTGGCCGAGAGCCGCATCTCACAGTCTCTGTCCCGCACCGCCAGTCCGTAGAGGTGCAGTTGTGGCGACCAGTCTCGGCCACTCAGATGGTCGCCATCTTGACGCCGATGCGGCGTCGAAGGACGTCGTACGATCCCTTGGTGCCAATTCCGAGCTGCACACACACCTTCCGCAGTGTCGCCACCGTCTTCTTCTCCTTCTTGAAGTGCTTCGACCGCGCCACCTTCATGACTTCAACACGCGAGTACAGGTGACAGACCCGCCCGCCTGCGCGCGTGCGCTTGGGTTGCCACGAGAGCATCCCGCGGTCCTCGGGTGAGATGTGGTAAACCTTGCCGCAGTTGCCCGCGGTCACGTTGTCCTTCAGCGTGGCAAGGAACCACTTCTGGATCGACAAGGCTTCCGTGTGTTCTTCGCGCGGTGCGCCGTTGACGCTGATCCGCTTGCGCACCTCATAGAGCCTGCCTCCAGGGCCCTGCCGCGGGCAGCACGATAGAGTGAGCGCCTACGACATTTCGCGGGTGCTGCATCTATTGCGTGCCCCATGCATCGGCGCGGCCCAGGAAGGGCCCCGCGAGACGGTGATGTGGACACCGTTTGCACGTTGTGCGCGCCGTTGGGCCCGCACGCCCTCCCGCCAAAAGAGGATGTACCGCATGTCCCCGGGGACAAGGTTCCTGTGAGAACAAGTCGTAGGCGAGTAAAGGGCAGCGGTCACGCCGCGGTCGGTCGTGACGGCGCATCCTCGAAGCCAGTCCCCTGTGCGGGCTGCCTCAGCTCGCCGCCCGACGTATAGGTGCGTGGGATGGAGAGGGGCCGCACCACGCAGACTGCAACCGCGGTGGGTTGAGCGTAACGACCGTGTTCCAAAAGGCTTTGTCGACGAAGCGAAGGAACACGGTGCTGGTGGAGAGAAGGGCGGTCAACGTGCGGCAGGCGTCGACCAGGGTCTCCATGCGGACATCCTGGTAGCGCAGAGGCGTGACTGCGAAGAGGATGATCAGCGATATGACCTCTGGCGGGAGCTCGGTGAGGTTGTACCGGGGCGGGAACTTGAGCTCGTGCGCGATCCGAGCCGGCGTCCGGCGAAAGACCCGATCCAACATCGAGCCGACGAGGTAAAAGCTGTCAATCGAGGCCGCATAACTAACTAACACGGTCCGCGGATTGCGCCGACGTCGGCCTTCGGTCGCTGTCCCGCGCTCGCCTCGCAGAGCCATGGCATCCTACAAGGCGCTCGCCAACAAGAACAAGGAGAGGCTTGCCCAGCAGTCCAAAGGCGACGGCAAGAAGGTGGAAGATCAGCCCCACTACGGTGGTGCGCTCGACTTGCTGATCATCTCGAGCACGACGGGCAACCCATACAGTCTCCTCTTCAAGACGGAGCAGACCAACGGCGCTGCATTCCTGCAATCGTGGCTGCCATTCATCAAGAAGATGAAGCTCCCAGGCACCAACGTCTGGGCGTTTACGCTCGACTACGAAACCATGCAGTGGATGCAGCTCGATCAAAACGGCGAGGCCAACAGCTGGCCCCTGGGCGAGTTCCTTGCCCAGGATGAGGTGCGAACCATGCTGCTCGACCCAGCGTGCACCAAGTCGCTCACATTCCGTGAGTTCGTCAACGGGCCGAACATCTCCAAGTCGACGGCGATCTCGAACTCGGACAACTGGACTGGCGCGCCGGCCGCCGAGGACGATGCCTCCCTCGACGACATCCCTTCATCGACGGACGCTTTCACCGCCGACGGCCCTGGGCCGTCGAGCGCGGCCCCCGACGGCCTGCACGTGATCGAGGTACAGAAACGGGGGCTGCCGCACGCTCACATCCTCATCTATCGGCCTTAGGCGCGGAGCCATCGCGCACGCCCGTATCGCGTGCGGCTCCGAGGTCTCCCGCCGAGACCGGCTCGGGGCGGCGCGTGGCCGCACGCCGCCGTTGAGGAGGCGATAGGAGAGGGGAAGGCGCCGGACACATCGAGCGAGCGCTGACGTGTAAGGTGTCTGCGCTGCTCCGGTGCGTGGGGTTCTGCCTCCCCCCTTCTGTGTGGCGAGGTGTTTGCGGCGCGATGCCCGATCGTGCGCGATAGCCTCCCATTGTGCGTGGTGTGTCGGTGTGTCGGTCGTCCGGAGCGTGTGGCGGCGCCGTTGCATGCAGCGACTCTGCTCCACGTGCCGACGACTGTGGACTGACGTGACTGACTGGTAAATGCTTGCGATGCCGATGGATGATCTCCGACAACCCAAAACCAAAATGCAAATGCGGAGTGGCCCCCCTGTGGCGTGCAGATCCTGCGTCTCTCATGCCCGAACAACTGACGAGTCCCGTCGCAGGTCCACACTAGTGGTTCGAAAAAGCTGTTTCTTCTTTCTCAAAACAGGCACCGGTAACTCAGTTTATTTCGTCACCCGAGGCACTTCTCCGAAAAACGGCGCTGGAGGAGTACATCCAGCGCACGCAAATGATCCTCTTCTTCCTCTCGTGTGGCTACTTCCGCTCTCAGGCGCGCTCTCGCCGCCCTGTCCCGCGCTCGGTATCCTCTGGCTCTCAACGCACCCGAGTCTGAGCTGCGCCCCTCGACACTCCCCACGGCTCACCGCCCGCCTGCTTGCGTGCCACCAGAACTGTCTCCGCGAGATCCGCTCGTCGCTCGAGCAGACCAAGCCGATCGTCCTCGTCCAAGAGGCGGACCCTGCCAAGGGCGGGGGGACGCTGCAGGCGCTGCGCGGCGAATGCCCCGAGGACCTGCGGCCGGCCATCTTTGAACAGGGCTTGACGCACACCATCTGGATGCGAATCAAAGAGTTTCAACGCGTCTCCCTCAAGACCATCGTCGAGGCGCAGCGGGTCACAGCCAGCCGCAGTCCTCTCTCACCCCCCCGAGACCTCAGCCCCGGCACCCTTGAACCGTAGGCTGTGCTCCTCTGCTCGCCCAACTATCTGAACCAGACCTCCCTCCCGCTCTTCGTGCCGGGCGAGCCCGAGAGGCAGTCGCTCGCCTTTGCCAAACAGACCCTCCTCTGGGCCTCGCCGGCCAACGCGGGCGCACAGGTCTTGGCCGACGAGATCGCCACCGCCTTTGCCGGTCTCACCGTCTCCACCGCCGAGGCGCCTGGGCCAGCGACCCACATGCTGCTCTACCTCAACGAGGACAGCTTCGTCAGCGACGCGCGGCTGGCCGAGCAGGTCAAGCAGGCGCGCGAGGACAAGCTGCCGATCGTCATGGCGCACGAGAACGACCCGGACCGCGGTGGCTGCCAGTTCTCGAGGTTTTTCGAAGTCACGCCGCAGGAGCGGGCCGGGGTTGGGGTCATGATGCACTCAATCTCAGGCGCCTCAATCTCCCCCCATACGCGTGCCCTTCCTTGTAGGAGCTCATCGCCGACGGACTCTACAAGAGCCTGGCACGCTCGTGCTTCCCGGGGCGCCACCACCCGGCGCGCGCTTTGTCTCTCTCCACATCTTGCCTTGCGCATCGGCGGTACACTCACCAGCCAGGGCGCTCCGCTCCGCAGGTGTCGCTTGCGCTTCTGGCAAAGGACCTCGGCGCGACTCCCGCTCGGTCGGGCAGCGTCGCCAGCATGAGCCGCCTCTCGGCCAGCATCGCCGAGCACGGCAGCCGGCTCGTCCTCAAGATCAGCCGCCGCAGCTCTGCGACGGCAACCACCGTGGGCGACGGCTCTGGAGGCGGGGCGGTGCCCTGACTCGGTGGAGGCGGCGGTATGGGGGCTTTCGCGCAGCGGTGTGCTGTGCGCGGCGCGCCTTCTCTGGAGCGGTCTCCAGAGGCGTGGTTGGGGGTTAGGGAGTTGGGGCAGGGGATGCGCAGCAGAGAGGCGCGCCGGCGTAGTTGCCTGCGAGGCGAGGCGTATCGCGCGCCGGCCCGGCCAGCGGCCGGGCGGCTGGGGTCGTAGATCGGGGAGGGTGAGCCTCGGTGAGGCAGAGGGGAGCGTGCGCACAACAAGCTTCGTCGCATTACTTGCTGAACGTGAAATAAAAGGGTTTGGACATGTGCAGCTCCCGCCTCCCCCTCCTCCTGCCACGGCCACGGCGTCCACAGCCCCACCCTCGACGAGTCTGTCGAGTGCCGCTGCACCGCGGGCTGGAGCCTGGACTGGCCGCTGGTGCGAAGTCCGTGCGCCGCGGCCGTGCAACGTGGCCCGCTCGCGAAGCCAAGTGTGTCAGCTCTCAAGTCGTGCGCTCGCGCTAGAGGGAGCGGACCGTGAGTTGAGGAAATCGAGGGACGCGACCCACTTCGCCACAGACGGTCCCGCGCCTCGCCGCTATGACCGCTGCACGGCCCATACCATCCGCTGTGCAGCGGTCTTTGTCCGGAGTGAAAAGTCCAACGCGCTCGTCGGTGGCGGTGTCCCTCGATTTCGCCGCGCTCGGCGAACCTCGACAGCGCTTTCGGTGGCATGCAGCTCTTTGCGACAGAAGCCTGGAGAGCAGCTCCTCTGCTGCTCACACACTCTGCACAGGTGACACAGCCTACTGTGCGGCTGCCACAGCTGTGACAGCGATGGGCTCGCCCTCACTGGCCCTCAGTCACTTGTGCTGCGGCTTGTGTGAGCGACACTGCTCGGCGACTGCCGGCACACTGTGAGACCATGGGTGGGAGGTAAAACCACGGTGTACCAGCGCTTGGTCACATCGGCCCCGAGGTCAGATCCATCTACTCTGTTAGTGACAAGACTTGTCTACTGGCTGGAGCCGAGCAGGAGGGCCCAGCGCACAACCCCTGGTCAACTCAGGGTCCACACCCCGTAGCTGCCGCCGTCGCTGCTGCGCCGCCCGCTGCTGTGAGAGGGAGGGCTGCGGCTACGGTCGCGTCGGCGGCGGCGCGGGCGGCGCTCCTCGCTGGAGGACCTCTCGTCGTCGCCGTCTGCCGGCGAGCGCGAGCGCGACTTGCTCGCAGACGCTCTCACGCGCTCGCGGCTACGCTCGCGCCGCTCGCGGCCGTCGCTGTGGTCGCTACGGTCGCGGCCCCTGCCATCGCGGCTGCGGCTGCGGTCGTGGCTGCGGCTGCGGCTGCGGCCCCTGCGGCCGCGGCTGCGGTCGCGATCCCTGCGGTCGCGGCTGCACGAGCGGTCGCGGCCGCGCTCACGGCCGCGCGAGCGGTCGCGCCGCTGCGGCGAACGCGAACGGCGTGGCGGGGGAGGCGGCGGCGGGCGCTTCCGCGGCGGCGACTGCCTGGCAGCGGCGGCGGCCGGCGGCCGCGGCGGCGGCGCGCTGTGCTGCCTCTTGGCGTCGGGCTTGCTCTCCGCGACGTTGATCTTGAGGGAGCGGCCCATCAGGTCCTCCCCGTTGAGCCGCGCGGCGGCGGCGACGAGCTCGGGCGAACCAAACTCGACAAACGCGATGCCGGACGCGCCACCCGTCTCGCGGTTGAGCGGCATGCGGACCTGACAGGAGCATGGCCACGCGTCGCGGAGACGCGTCGCGGAGGTGTGTCGTGGGCGTGTCGCGGACGTGTCGTGGACGTGTGTCGCGGACGTGGCGTGGATATGTGCGACACGACGTCTCGCGTTGGCAGCGGCGCATGCGCACCGACACCGCCGCGCCCACCTCGGCGAAAAAGTCGCGCACGTCCTCCTCGGTGGCGTCGAAGGGCAGGTTGCCTGCAGTGTGAGTGCACCACCGTCAGGGTGCGACCACGGACTCGTGCGCTGCTTCTTCAGAGCACCGCGTGAATACGAGGGGTACGGATGCAGCGAGCCCCGCCGACTACGGCGGATACGATGACCCAGAGTACGGCCTCTCGTGTGCTGGCCGGAGTACACGGGTCTGTGCTCCGTTTCTAGGGGCTCGAGATGTGGGGGAGAGATGGGGAGGCATCGGTCTGTGCTCGGCTTCTGGGGGCAGGCTGCCGACGAAGACGGTGGTCGCGTCCGGGTCGGGTCCCCGCCGGTCGGCGGGCAGCAGCTCTCTTTGGGACGAGTCGTGGACGTGTCGTGGACGTGTCGTGGGCGTGTCTCCCCGGCAGCCGCCGGAGGAGCGGCGCCTCGTCGGCCGCGTCCGCCTCGAGGCGCGAGAGCTGCGCCTGAAAATGAGGGGGGGGGGGGGGGCGTGTTGTGGGATGAGGACCACACACGTTCTCCGCGCCGGGAGGGGCCCATCGGGCCGGCGCGCGCCGTTAGCGCCGCGTGCTGCGCCTGGAGCTGCGCGAGCGCGTCGGCCTTTGAGACGCGCAGCACGTGCGTGCGGGACGAGCCGCCACACACGAGTCGCGCGCCGTCTTCGAGTGGAACGCCTGGCAGCAGAGGGGGGGTCGTCGAGCGGAGGGCCTTCTCTCCCTCCCCCTCCCTCTCCCCCTCCCCCTCCCCCTCCCTCCCTCCCTCCGCCTCCCTCTCCCTCCCTCCGCCTCCCTCTCCCTCCCTCCCTCCCTCCCCCTCCCCCTCCCCCTCCCTCCCTCTCCCTCCCTCTCCCCCTCCCTCTCTCCCTCCCTCTCACCGAGCGACGGTGGTGCGCGCCGGCCGTTGACGGTGGTGCCCGCCTGTGGGAGGGGGGCGTGAGGGCGTGTCGGACTGTCGCTGTGCGGCCGTGCGATTTCGGGCCCGGGGCTGTGCTGTTGTGTGGGGGGGGGGGGGGGGAAGAAGTTTTGTGTGTTTGTGTGTGTGTGTGTGTGTGTGTGTGTGTAGGGGGGGAGGGAGGTTTTTTGTTTTTGGTGGGGGGGTCCTGTGTTTGTGGGGGGTTGTTTGGGGGGGGGGGTTTTTTTTTTTTTTGTTTTGGGGGGGGTTTTTTTTTTTCTTTTATGAGAGGGCCAAAAATAACAACCCGGGCTCTGGGTCGCGCACAAGAGCCGCGTGGCTTTTCCCAAAAAGGGAAGCCGGGGT